ATGCGGGGCTCGATCCCAGGACTCTGGGATCATGACCTGAGCCGAAGGCAGACGCTTAACGACTGAGCCACCCAGGCGCCCCAAGATTTCTTTTATGGCCAAATAATATTCCTGTGTGTGTGTGTGTGTGTATAGGTGTATGTCTATATATATATACATATATATATATATAGACACACACCACATCTTCTTTATCCATTCATCCATCCATAGACATCTGAGCTCTTTCATAGTTCCATAGCTTGGCTCTTGTAAATAATGCTGCCATAAACAAAGGGGGGCGTATATCCTTTTGAACTACTGTTTTTGTATTCTTTGAGTAAATACCCTGGGGTGTGATTCCTGGATCGTAGGGTACTTCTATTTTTAATTTTTTGAGGAACCTCCATACTGCTTTCCACAGTGGCTGCACCAATTTGTGTTCCCACCAACAGTGCATAAGGGTTCCTTTTTCTCCACATCCTCGCCAACACTTGTTTCTTGTGTAACTGCTGAGTGTTTTTTAAAAAGTTGCAACTTCACTAGCCTCCTACATCCCTATTTAATTACTAACCAGAACAACAGCAGATAAGATAGGAGGCTGGAACATGTGAATCCCTGAGCTCTCTTCAGCATGAATGTATAAGATTTTGCAATTTATATTTAAAAATCTGCATAATACTTAACACTGTATAAGGAGGGATGATGCTGGACTAGGAAAAGGCACCACACCACTTCATAAAATGTGTGGATTAATGCTGTATTAATTCAAAAAATATTATGGCATCTTTTATCTCAATCTTTCCCTTAATTTTTCTAAAATCTTAACTTGTGACATACTCTTACCTTGCCTTTCTCAATCCATTATCTCAAAAGTGTCTTCCTCCCCTTTAATAAACATTTACAGAATAGTTGTAGATTTATGGAGAAGTTGCAAAGCTAGAACAGAGTTCCTACACACCTAGCACCCAATTTACCTCATTATTAACTTGCTATATTACCATGTACATTGTCACAACTAAGGAACCAACACTGATACATTACTATTAACTACACTCCAAACTTTATTTGGATTTCACTAGTTTTTCCATTATGTCCTTTTTTTTTTCCTTTTTGGATCCAGGATACCACATTATAGTTAGTTGTCAATGTCTCCTATGACAGTTTCTTAGGCTTTCCTTGTTTTTGATGCTTTTGACAGTTCTGAGGAATACTGGGTCAGGTATTTTACAGAATGTCTCTCAATTTTGATTTGTCTGTGATGTTTTTCTCTGGATTCGACTGAGTTATGAAACTTGGAGAGGAAGACCAAGAGAGGGAAAGCGCCAATCTCATCACATTATGTAAAGGGTACATGCTATCAAATAGAACATATTACTGAAGGTACTGACCTTGATCACTTGGCTGGGGTACTGTTTGTCAGGTTTCTCCACTATAAAGTTACTCCCCTTTCCCCACACCCAACTACCCTCTTTGGAAACAAGTTACTCTGCACAACCCACACTTGAGGGGGGAATTAAGCTCCATCTCCTTGAGGGCAAGTGTCTGCATAAACCATTTATAAATCTTCCATACAGAAGATCTGTCTCTTCCCCATTTATTTATTTATTCAATAATGTATATCAGTATGGACTGATGGCTGTTTACTTTACAATTTGGATTATAATCTTACACTATGTTATTCTGTTGCTCAAATTGTTTCAGCTTTGGCACCTGGACACTCTCAGGTTGGCTCCTGTGTCCCTTTACACAGCCCCATCACTGTGTTTTTTGAGCATTTCCTTCATCCTAAGCTGCTTCAGGCTCATCTTATTCTCTGCCACAGCCCTAGTTCTTTGTTCTGGAAAATGGTATTAGAAAACCAAGATCAAGGCACTCTATTTTCACTGATCTTGGGGTGTCACTGCTCCTACTTCTGTCAGTGGACAGCACTAGGAAATACATGCATACTAACCCATACACATTCTCATTTTGTTTCTACTTACTTAGAGATGAAATAGTCATACAACTTTTTCGTCAAATACTTTTTTAAAAAGTTCACATTTTTATTTTATTCTAAAGCAAAATAGATTCTGAAAATGGTAGAATTCCTTAAAATATACGTAGCCAGGTAAAAACATTTACTGAAAGATTAATTTATATGTTATACTAATAAATAATGAGAGGGGTTTTTTTTTTTCATTTAAATATTTCCTAAAGTTATTATTTCTTTCATGTGACGTCAGAACAAAAAAAATATTTTGCTTTTAGAGGACATAGTTATCATTCATGGAGTATTTTGAAGGGAAAGAAGCATTTATTTTAAGGTGTAATCATAGCATACTTGTTTAAAGGATGTGGGAATCTGAAAATATGCACTTTTTGAGTATCACTGATTTCTTGTGAAAACTTTAGTAAGTCTGATGGCTTAAACAGTGATACTGAACTAATTCTAGTTATTTCCACTCTGCTGAAATGTCAGGAAACCTATGGGGAAGGAGGGCAGTTTCATCATGGATTCTGAGTATACAGACTTCCTCCACGCAACTTTTCTATCCCCAGGTATATATTAACAGTCACAGTTGTTCAGCAGTATGATTGAGTTTGAAATAAACTTTATAAATATATATAACAACACTCCTGGATTTAAAACTTTATATACTATATGGTGCTCCATATCAAATACATTTATGAACTAGCCCATGCTATTGTCCCCTCTAACCACCAAAACAAAATTTATTTTATAATTTAGACATTAGGTACAGCTCTGGTTTTAAGAACCTTGCTGAAATAACCAGGGCTGCCGTCAGTCTATAGAGATTTCTTCATATTGGCTGTCAGCATTTCGAACTACCTGGGATGCTTGAAGAACTGGATCCTGATTTAATGCTGGAGCTGGATAAGGAAGTCCAATCATAAGCCGACTCTGTCCTCTTCAAGGCTTCTTGATAGTTCATGTAGAGCTGTTTCCCGTACTAAACAGAAAGCAGTAAATGATGACAAATGAACATTATTGGGTATGATACAGATGGATGAGGTAAGAAAGGGGGATATTTTCTGTTTACTGATTCAGAGTTTGCATTAAAACTAATACCTATAGTACTTCAAAAATTATTTTTAATACCAATAAATTACCATCAACTCTTATTTATCCTCATTTTAAGAAAGGCAGCAAGAAGTTAACACTTTATTTGTTCATTATCAATATAAAGATTTTTTGTTATTCCTAAAGCAACTTTGATTTTATAGCTATCATAAATTTTATTTTCACTTAATGGGCATAAATATTCCTTCATGTTTTATGTGTAATCCTCTTCAAGGTGTCCTTAAAATTTTTTTCAAAGACTTTTTTTTTTTTTTAGAGCAGTTTTCGGTTCACAGCAAAACTGAGAGGAAGGTAAAGAAACTCCCCATATGCCCCCTGCCACTCTCTGTGCACAATCTCTCTCATTTATCAGTATTCTCCACCAGAGGGTGCATTTGTTTCAATCAATGAACCTACATTAACACCTAATCATCAAAGTCCACAGTTTACCTTAGGTTCACTCTTGGTGTTACACATTCTATGGGTCTGGAGAAATGCATAATGACATGTATTCACCATTATAGTATCACACCAAGTATGAATATTTTCACGGCCCTAAAAATCCTGTGTCCTGCTTATTGATCCCCCTATTCCCACCCTGAGGTGATTTAATCAAAAAATTTCTTTTGCTTAGGCTAAACTCTGCTGTATAAGCATCATATAATGTGTTCGTCAGAGCCAAAATAAATCACTCTGATGCTACACAAGCTTTTACCAGCAGTATTATTCCATGGATACCAACTGTTAAATGTTTATCCCCTAAGACATTTAAAAAATAAAACTTAGGCCTCAGAAAACACTGACAAAATCATAAACATGAAATGACTAGAATGACAATCAAAACTACATCATGAAACATCTCATTATTCTATCAAACCAAAACAGAACACCCTACCTTTGCAATGCGGATACCATTGACCCATTGATGCAGGGTCCTCACATCATCACAACAAAGGTACTTGATGTACTGAGATTTCTTCTGGATCTGTGGGTGCTGCAAGATTAAAGGCAAAGTCCAATTCAGTACCCTGAAGAACTAAAGAAAAACTCTATCAAAGCTTGAACAGACCCTGACACGTTATAGGTCATCAGAGTTAACAGCCAAAAATAATTTGTACCTCTTATACGGCCATAAGGCCAAATAACATGGCCCATAAGTATTTTTACAAAATAAACTACAAAGCAAGGCCCCTGGGTGGTTCAGTTGGTTTAGCAGCTGACTCTTGATTTTGGCTCAGGTCATGATCTCAAAGTTGTGAGATCAAGCCCCTGCTTAGGATTCTCTCTCTCCCTTTCCCTCTGTCCCTCCCTCTGCTCTTTCCCTAATAAATAAATAAATAAAAATAAATTTAAAAAATTAAAAAAAAAATAAACTACAAAGAAACTTGTGTTAAATTTTAGGTCAAGATATGCAAGTTAAAAAATACCTTTGTAGCACAGCAAATCCCCAAAGACCCTTCTATATTTCAGAGAAACATAGTCCATTGAGGTTAACAAACTCAACAGAACTCTTCATCTCTAAGACTGTGAAAAGGGAAGATCTTGATTTCACTTGGAGCCCACTGGAATCAGGAATTCAGAAGACTCCAAACGAGAGGGTGTTTGGTAAAGCTTCAGGTGCTTCTGTGGAGGTGAACTGGTGGGTGGGGTGGGTGAGTGCAGGGCACAGCACCTGGGACGTGAGTGGGCGCTCACACCTGGTGCAGTGGTGCCCCCTGCTGTGGACTAAGCACTGCTCTGCACCCCATCTGCCCACAGCACATGCCCTCCAGGGAGTGAGCAGCTTTTCAACTGCATCATCAGATTCAGTTTTCACTTTTCAGCTGCAGTTTGGATGGGAGGTGACTGACTAGACCAGCTATACAACCCAAGTGCTAGAACAGACTTAAGGTATTTTAACTCTACTGGGCCACAACCACGACTTCCCTGGAAAGAAAAACCCTAAATCACACTTGGTTCTGGATGTAACAGTTGTTAATTATTACTTCTCTTTTCAGTTATTCTGAAAAAATTTTTTTAAATGGCTACATTTTACCTGGGGAAATATTTAAGATTATGTTAAATTATAAGAGGCTTTAAAGATTCTCTAACCACATTTGTTGTGGAAATCCAGGAGATCAATAAAATAAGCAATTTGGGTAAGTTCTCAATGCTGCAGAAATAGATGACCACCCATATAAGTTATGTATCTGCACTGTTGTAGATCAATCTTGGGGTGCCTGGGTGGCTCAGTTGGTTAAGCATCAGACTCTTGATTTTGGCTCAGGTCATGATCTCAGGGTTGTGAGACTGAGCCCCAAGTCAGGCTCCACACTGGGCATGGAGACTGCTTAAGATTCTCTCTCTCCCTCTGCCCCTCCGATCCCCCTGCTCACTCTCGCATATGCTCTCTTTAAAAAAAAAAAAAGGTCAATCTCTCTGGTCTACAATGAGAGAAATTTAAATCCATTTATTCTATTCTATACATTGCTATATAGAGCTCAGCTCCTATAATAAAACATTTAATACCAAAACCAATTTAGTTACTAAAGGCTAGAGTGAAAGTTTTAAACAATAAATCATCAACAAAAAGAGGTTGGCAAATGGCATGGATGGAACTAGAGGGTATTATGCTAAGCGAAATAGAGAATGACAAATACCATTTCACGTGGAATGGTGGTGTTTGGTGGATCTCAAGGTTGTGAGATCATATGTGGAATTTTTGTTTTTTTAAGAATTTATTTATTTATTTGAGAGAGAGAGAGCACATGAGAGGGAGGAGGCTCAGAGGGAGAAGCAGACTCCCTGCTGAGCAGGGAGCCCAATGTGGGACTCGATCCCGCGACTCCAGGATCATGACCTGAGCTGAAAGCAGTCGCTTAACCAACTGAGCCACCCAGGCGCCCTCATATGTGGAATTTAAGAAACAAAACAGATGAACATGGGGGAAGGGAAGGAAAAATAAAAGATGATAACAGAGAGGGAGGCAAACCCTAAGAGGCTCTTAACTATAAGAAACAAACTAAGGGTAGTGGGAGGGAGGATGGGGTAATTGAGTGATGGGCATTAAGGAGGGCACTTGATGTAATGAACACTGGGTGTTATATGCAACTGATGAATCACTAAATTCTACCTCTGAAACTAAAAAAAAAAAAAAAAAAGGAGGTTAGCCAAACAATACTTAACAGTGTTCTCTCTTAATACTATAGGTTCCACAGCCTTCTCTTGGAATATATTCCCTCATCCTTATTAAATCACATTATGATAAACCACCATAGCAATCTTGAAAAAGCAAAGGAGGACAGGTAGAGGAGATATATTTTTCCATAGAATAAGGAAGGGCAGTTTTTTTTTTTTTTAAAGATTTTATTTATTTATTTGACAGAGAGAGAGCGAGAGCAGGAACACAAGCAGGGGGAGTGGGAGAGTGAGAAGCAGGCTTCCTGCCAAGCAGGGAGCCCGATGTGGGACTTGATCCCAGGACCCTGGGATCATGACCTGAGCCGAAGGCAGACGCTTAACGACTGAGCCACCCAGGCGCCCAGGAAAGGCAATTTTATCTCATTCATTCATGCAACAGATATTTACTGAGTAAGAACTATTTGCCAGGTCTTTTAGTAGGTGCTGGGATACACTGTGAGCAAAACAGAAGCCCCAGTTCGTGCAGAAAATGGGATGGCTGAGAAAGGGCTTTCGTCAGTATTACCAATTAGGGCTTGAAGAGGGGCGTCACTCAGGCACCACCTACAGGGCAGGGTTTGGACATCTGAACAAGGGGCTACAGGATGGCTCTCAGTCTTTACCACCACTCCCTCTCTTTATGGTGATTCATAAACCATTCTTGACTGATTCCATTTTCTGAGAGCAGGGCTACCCACCACACATGGGTGTTCAACTGTAGCTGTGGCCCTGCCTAAGTGTGTTCTACTTATTCTATACCCTAAGGGAGTGTTTTTATCAACACAACATCAGAGAAAATCAAAGGGAAACAATCCTCTTATCCTTTTCTCCTCATTTCTCTAACCTGGGAATCCAAACACCACCACAAAGAATACTATGATATGACTTTTTTTTATAAAAACATTTTATTTACTTATTTAGGGAGAGAGAGAGAGCATGCATGCATGCAAGCAGGGGTGGGGCAGAGGGAGAGGGAGACAGAAGAGAATTCCAAGCAGACTGTGCTGAGCAGAGCCTGACAGGGGGCTCAATCTCATGACCTTGAGATTATGACCTAAGCTGAAATCTAGAGTTGGACACTTAACCAACTGAGCCACCCAGATGCCCCTATGATATGCTTAATATTTGCAGGTCACTTGCTAGGTTAAGGTTCATTTTAGGACCCCATAACTTGTCTTTTTCAACCTCCCACATAATAAAGGCATTCCTTCCTATAGCCTTCATTATGGTCACCCAGGCTCTGCACCAATTCCTCAGGCAGTTCCTTATTCCATCAATATATTATTTCATTAAAAGTGACATTTATTGGGAGGCCTGGTTGGCTCAGTCAGTAGAGGATGCGACTCTTGATCTTGGAGTTGTGAGTTCGAGCCCTACACTGGGTGTAGAGATTACTTTAAAAAAAAAGTGGCATTTATTGAGTACTTAGTATATACCAAGCATTATACTAAATATGTCACATATATTAATTAGCTCATTCCCCCCTCAGGAAAACCCAGTAAGTTACATATTACTATCTTCATCAAATGAAGAGAAACTGAGGCACAGAGGGGTTAAGACAGCACTCTAAGTTGCTCACATATTCATGTTTATTAGTGAAAGAACCAGGATTTGAAACCATGCCACCTCATTCCAGGGCCTGTGCTCTTAATTATGTCATACTTCTGTCTTATTAGTAGTGAAAGCTGCTTCTTTCAAATGTGCTGCCTCTCTCCTCTTTTCCCCACAATATCACACAAGAGGGGCACTTGGGTGGCTCCATGGGTTAAGTATCTGCCTTTGGTTCAGGTCATGATCCCAGGGTCCTGGGATAGAGCCCAAGTCAAGTCGGGCTCCTTGCTCAGTGGGGCCCCCTTCCCCCAACTTGTATTCTCTCAAATAAATAAAATCTTTTAAAAAATTTTAAAAATCACACAAGAGCTAAGAGCAAGTACGAAGGAGACATTCTTTGCCAAAAATCAGAAGCTTAACATTTAGATGCTTAAAGATTCCAAAGAGAATATATAATCAAATTGTTCCCCTTAACAAATTAACAGCTATTAAGGAAGAAAGGTCATTATTTCATTTTTAAAATGATGTGGATTTGGAAAGTCTACATTCTCTGATAAAAGATAAAAAACTTGAGAATTAAAAAAAATTTAAGAATACAGTAAGAAATTCCAGATTACTAGTGTACTATCAGGTTATTTTTTTCTGTTTATGCCAAAAATTAGATTGAGACAGACAATTCTTAGAACTCTATAACTAAAAGTGATGCTCTAAAATCACAGTCCAAGTGCCAAAGGAAAACCACTGAATATATACTACCCACTTATTGCTTTGGGAACTCAAATAGGCTTGAAAATTAATTCTCTCACTAACATGCAAGAACTTAAAAAACAAAGTATGTAGCACTCCATCCTGTTACTTCTACCATTATTACATATAACATCTTTCTTTTAATAACAGTGTTTGAAAAGTTCATGTTCATATTCTACCTCTAATCTCTAACCATTTTTTCCTTCTTACCTAACATACTGAAATAAATTACTTTGCCTCATTTCTTTTAGGAATGAAAAATTAGACATGGCTAAGGTGAGCTGTATTCCAACAATTACTGTGGTGTATGTATTTTAAAAGTTTCCTTTTAGAAACTTATATATGTGCATACACATATGTCCAACAAGCACATACCTCTTTCAGATAATAGATAACATATATCCTATTTATTCCCTCATTGTCATATTTCATGAATAAGCTCTTGCCATCATTTTTATTACTACCTTTAAAAAAAACTAATTACTAAACTGTGCTTTATTCCTCCCTACAAATATATTTCCTGTATCCTGCATTTTACTGGAAGAACTCAGACTCAAATTGTTATAGCCCAAGCCTGATAAATAGGGTTAAACCCTATAAATATTTATATTTGCATAGATCTTGTGTGGCAGCATTTTTTGGTTTGTTAGAACTCATATGCACAAGAATAAAAATACTTACATAGGCAAAATCTAGTAGAGACCTTTCAGGAAAAAAAATACTAATAGTTGTGTGGCATCAGGAACACTGATCCCTCTAAACCTCAGTCTCCAGATCTGAAAAATGGGGACTCTAGAATGGATCCGTGACACTGATGTGCACAGTGCTTCTAGTGCACTGTCTGCCACTCTAGAGGCCTTCAGTCAATGATAGCCATTATTTTTACTACTATTCGTGCCTAGTGGTATAGTTTATTTCAATACCTTGAATATTTCTAAATATAAATAAGTAGGCAATATGAACATATGAATTTAGCTTAACCTACTTTACTAAAAGCAAATATGAAATACATAATTATATAAACCAACAAAAACCCCTTGGAACAAAAATATTCTTAACCTAAGAATTCTATGAGTTGCAAAAGGGATTAAAGTAATAGTCAGTGGTCATAATTAATTTTGGCTGTAACACATACTGCTGGTTGCCTTCCCCACAACTATCCCCTCTTCCCTACTTCTTTTCTTAAAGAGCCCCAATTTTGTTTGGATGTCCGTCTACCCGTTATGTCAGGGTGTGAATTCTAACTAGGCTAAGCCAAAAACACTGGAATAAACTTAACCAAGGAAGTGAAAGACCATACTCCCAAAACTATAGAATACTGATGAAAGAAATGGAGGTTAACACAAGGAAATGGAAAGACATTCCCTGCTCATAGATTGGGAGAACAGATATTAAAATGCTCTTACTACCCAAAGCAATCTACAGCTTTAATGAAATCCCTATCAAAATACTAATAGCATTTTTCACACAACTAGAATAAATAATACTAAAATTTGTGTGAAACCAAAAAAGATCCCAAACAGCCAAAGCAGTCTTGAAAAAGAACAAAGCTGGAGGTATCATAATCCCAGATTTGAAGATATACTACAAAGTTGTAACCATCAAAACAGTATGGTACTGGCACGAAAAAAGACACACGGATCACTGGAACAGAATGGAGAGCTCAGAAATAAACCCATGCTTATATGGCCAATTAATCTATGCCAAAAAAGGCAAGAATATACAATGGGGAAAAGATGGTCTGTTCGACAAATGATGCTTGCTGGGAAAACTGGACAGCTACATGTAAAAGAATGAAACTGGGCCACTTTCTTACACTATCCACAAAAATAAACTCAAAATGGATTAAAGACCTAAATGTGAGACTTAAAACCATAAAACTCCTAAAAAGAAAATACAGGCAATAACCTCTTGGACATCGACTCTACAACATATTTTTGAATTATGTCTCCTCAGGCAAGGACGAATAAAAGAAAAAATAACTATTGGGACTACATCAATATAAAAAACTTTTGCACAGCAAAGGAAATTGTCAGCAAAACAAAAAGGCAACCTACTGAATGGGAGAAGATATTTGCCAGCGATGTGTCCAATAAGGGGTTAATATAAAGAACTTTACAACTCAATCCCCCAAAAATAATGTGATCAAAAAATGAGCAGAGGATCTGAACAGAATTTTTCCAAAGAAGACATACAGATGGCCAACAGACAGATGAGAAGATGCTCAACATCACTCGTCATCAGGGAAATGCAAATTAAAACCACAATGAGATATTACTTTACACTTGTCAGAATGGCTAAAATGAAAAACAAAAGAAATAACTAGTGTGGGCAAGGACATAGAGAAAAAGGAACCCTTGTGCACTGCTGGTAGGAATGCAAGCTGGTGCAGCCACTGTGTTAAACAGTATGGAAGTTCCCCCCCACCACAAATTAAAAATTACTATATGATTCAGTAATTCCACTACTGGGTATTTACCCAAAGAAAACAAAAACACTAATTCAAAAAGTTATATGCACACTTATGTTTACTGCAGTATTTACAATAGCCAAATTATGGAAACAACCCAAATGTCCATTGATAGATGAATGGATAAAGAATGGATAAAGAAGATATATATATATACACACACACACACACACCCACACCCACCTCCCCACACAATAGAGTATTACTCAGCCATTAAAAAAAAGGTGGGGGGGAATCTCGCCATTTGCAACAACAGATTGACCTAGAGTATATAATTCTAAGTGAAATAAGTCAGTAAGAGAAAGACAAATATCGTATGATTTCACTCATCTGTGAAATTTAAGAAACAAAGCAAATGAATGAAGGAAAAAAAGACAAAAAACTAGACTCAAATACAAAGAACTGGTGACTAGCGGGGACAGGGTGGGGGGGTGCGTGAAATAAAAGAGATGAAGGGCACACATTTATCTTGATGAGCAATGTATGAATTGTATGAATCATTACATTATACACCTGAAACTACTATAACACTATGTTAATTATGCTTCAATTTAAAAAATAATTAAAAAAAAAAAGTGGACATGTACTCAGGCCAATGACTCTCAAGAGGAGGACTCAGGAGGTAGCTCCCGGGAAATATTTCCTCCCACTTGAGAGAGACAAGTACAGGGAGGAATAGTCCCTCCTATTCTGCTGGAAAGAGACAAATATACAGAGAAATAGCCATCTTCTTCTGCTGGATTTTGCTAGACCCATTGCATGGATCCATCATCCATGTGATGCCTACAACTGCAGTGGGTCATCTGTAACTGTGAGGTGAGCCAGCCTGAGGATAAGATGATATGCAGAAGATGGAAGAGGGAAAGAAGGAAAGAATTTGGGTTCTTACTGACAACCCTGAACCACTGAAATAACCAACTCTTGCTGTCTTCATGTTATGAGGATCCCCGCCAAATAACTTTGATATATATGGATTATGTCTACTGATATTTACCATCTAAGAAGATTAGAACTAAGAAAAGTTTAAAATATGAGAACATACAAATATTTGTTCCACTACGCAAGAGAGCAAAGATATCATCATCATGTCATGTAATCTCTTAGAAAACTCCATTATACGTTTATGAGAGAATGAGAGTGTAAGAGGCAAGTAACATCTCAGCATTACTGGAATAATAATTTTGACTCACAGACCCCTTGACAGAGTTTCAGGGACTCCCAGGGGAGCTTGAACTTCATTTTCAAAACTGCCAGATTAAGCTACTTCGTAATGACTTTTGGAAAATTATTTGCTGCTGTAACCTAAAGGATATAGTGGTATTCTCCAAAAAAGGATTATTTAATAAAGGGGCAGCATTACAATGGTATTTTTATTTTTATCAAAGCAATCAAAAACTCCACCCCAAAACCCCAAACCCAACTGATAACTCTCAGAGAAAAGCAAAGTCAAACAATGATATAAACATATAGACCTAAGTAGTTACCAAGAGGTGACTAAAATAGAGCCAATGAGAAAAACTTAATCATCTCCATAATTATCTTTTTTCTTTAAGATTTAATTTATTTGACAGAGAGACACAGTGAGAGAGGGAACACAAGCAGGGGGAGTGGGAGAGGGAGAAGCAGGCTTCCCGCCAAGCAGGGAGCCCGATGCAGGGCTTGATCCCAGGACCCTGGGGCCATGACCTGAGCCGAAGGCAGATGCTTAACAACTGAGCCACCCAGGTGCCCCCTCCATAATTATCTTGAATTTTAAAACGTTGTCTTTATCAGTAGCATCAATTTAATTAGGGCTATTTAGCTAGAGGTCAGCTGTGGTGTAAGCACATACTTCTTTCCTTACCATTCTTCACCATTCCTTTAAAAGCCTATAGAAAAAGCAAAAACAGTATACTTGATAGAGACACAAACCGTTCTAAAATGTCCAATAACTCACTCTATGTCTAACATCAATTAAAATTCCTAAAAAGGGAATGTGTTTACCTTTAGCACCAGACAATAATCTGTAGGTGCTTTGTATTTGTTCCGGTAGTCCTGTCCATAATAAACATTGACATGATCCAGTTGGAGAAAGCATACCAGTTCCCTAGAGACCTAAGATAAAACACCAAAAAGACTGAATTAACAATAATGTATAAACAAGCAAATATCATACCTGGTAATAGTTTCTAGTTGAGAATAAAAACTTTACCAAGTGGAAACCAATCTATTTTGCAGATGACAAGACAGTGAGATTCTCTATTACTGTTCCTTCTTTAACCCAGGATACAACAAAAAAGCAGTCCATTTCACTTACTGTCTGCCATTCACAATGAACACAGACTTGCTTGGAAAGGGTGGCATTTTAAGAAGACTTTAAATATAATACAGCATATTAAATACAATATAGTATACAGTAGAGCGCTGGAAAAAAACAAGAAAATATCATGTAGTTCGGTGCTCATAATGCATATCTCAAGTACAATGATTCTCAAGTCAGGGTTTCCTCACCTTAAATAGAGGAAACAAAATATGCCTCTCGGGAGGGTGGTAAAGCCTGGATGAGAGGATGCTGTAAGGAGTTTAAAATAGTGCGGACCCCCACTAAGCACAGAAGTGGGGGCCCTCAGCAGGAGCATATTATCCAAGAAAGGCTGAAATACCTATAATCCCAGAAAGCTATTCTCCCCAAACAATAACAAGCAAAAACTACTGACAGAAGTTCTGAAAATAAATAAAAGTATGACTTCAAATGTGGGAAGAGAACTGAAATGGGCCCAATGAATGACCAGAGAGTGAACATGTCCAGGTTTCTTCTTCTTTATAATAGATCAATAAACAAAAGCAAAGCAATATTCTGTGTGTCCTACAACAGCTGAAACAAGGGACACCTGGGTGGCTCAGTTGGTTAAGCATCTGCCTTCGGCTCAGGTCATGATCCCAGGGTCCTGGGATCGAGTCCCACATCGGGCTCCTTGGTCAGTGGGGAGCCTGCTTCTCCCTCTGCCTGCCGCTCCCCCTGCTTGTGCTCTTTCTCTCTTACTCTATGACAAATGAATAAAATCTTTAAAAAACAAAAAAAGAGTTGAAACAAATCAGAGCCTACAAATTAACTGTCATAATGAGGAAGCTCAAAAGTCAGCAGAGGGGACACACCTTTGCTTTTCCTTTAGGGACATAGTAGATACCAGATGCTCGCAAGAGAAAATAACGCTTTTTCCACGACTTTTTGCCATCATCTTTCAACCACAGGACTCCTTCAATTTCTGGTACAGTTACAGAACTTCCACAAAAACATTCCTAAAATAAGAAGATGATTTGGAAAGACATGTGATCTTTGGATTCTCAGAACAAAATTGTGTTAACTCCTGTGAAGTTCATACTATAATTAAACCAAATGGCTTTGGTATTAAGGCCACATTGCTAATATTACCTCAATTAGAACTTTGTATTCTAAACATATAGATTCATTTTGAAACTACTATGGCAATCCCTATGAACTTTTACCTAACATTGTTTTGAAGAATCTAAATTGAATTGTCAACTGAGCTGCATACAACAGGATTTAAATGCATCTGTACAGCATAGTAACACTAAATTTAGTAAAAGTGTCAGTTAACGTAAGCACTAGACTTTATTTTTCTCCAAATTAACAACATATTTAGATTAACTATCAAACCAAATTTGTTTTAAAAAGCAACATGCTAAGTGAGTAAACACAATTTAAAAACTGTATCAATTTATATGATTCTAAAACAAAGAGGACATTTATTTTTTAAATATTTAAAACTAGGTTGAAAGGAATGTAAACAAACTCAAAATTATGAATTCTAATGTCTGTACTTAGATAAAAATGTAATTAAAAAATCAATCATGTATTTGGTAAAAGAAAAATAGAAATCCTCACTAAATATTAACATAGGACATTTTGAGACTAAATTAACTTCTCTCTTCCCAAAGTACAGAGAAACCACGAATTATAAAGAGGATTTTTAATTGTAGCTATTATCACTATGAAAAGCTGAGTGCTGATCTTCATCTTCCTAACTGCCTTATTGCTAAGAATTTATTCTGGTTTTCAAACATACTAACTTCTTTGATTTTAGTTCTCTAAAATCAGCAAAGGCCAAAAAGCTAAAAACTGAATTATGTTTGAATTTGTTTTATTAAAAATAAGGGGATGTGTGTGTGTGTATATAAAATGATCATTATGATTTTTTTAATTGAGTTAAAGCTAAGGCTTGAAATATTTTGTAAATAACTAGTATATTCAAATTTCTCTCTAGGTGAGCAGATAAAGCACCACAATCATGTCCTTCATTGAGCAGCCTTTTCCCCCACTTGTCTGCTCCTAACAGCTCATGACTCCTTTTAGTCCACTAATATATTACTTGGCAAAATAACAGTAGAGGTTCTTCAGTGGCCTAACATTCACACAGCTGAACTCTCCCCCTCAGGCTATGGAGGAATATAGGCTTCTCTAGTTACAAGTGTAATTATGAATATATAGCATTGACATACTTGACTTCAAAAAAGGTGCTTAATATTTTAATATTGTAATGTGCAGGAAAAAAATGGGGGCGGGGGGAGTGAAGAGTCATACCTCCAATAGCACTTCTTTGTTTCTATCTGCCATCTCAGCAGTTTCCTTTTTCCCCAGAAGATAATTCTGGAAAAATAAATAAAGTTAAAGATAAAACCACCCTATTATTCCCTTGGCAGAGGTGCATATATGATTTCTTCTAGAGATACAGCAACTGTGTCTGCCTGTATAGAATGACAGGAATACTGCTTTGAACATTAACTTGTGCCTGAGCATCACTGCTAAAATGCTTAATGCTGGCCTTCTCCTTACTTTAACCATTATCTGGAAATATTCCATAAACTGCCCTCCCCCAAATCCTGGGATGATACCACATCCAACAGCTGACAAATGTTATGTACAGCTAATGAAAGGACCTGAAAGGTTTACAAATTAAGTACAATGAGTAAGGTAAATTTCCTTAAAATATGCTAAGCTTAACTGACCCAGATGCAGAAAATTTATGTTCTGGCTTTGAAAGAAATCCCCAATTCTCTGAGACTATCATAATATCACTTGCTTGCCTCAACTAAAATCTGAATTCTATTAGCCTTATAAAAAACTTCTTTGCAATCACCTATAAAAAAATCCATTGGTATTCCCAAATGTGTATTATTCACTAAAAGTATCCAGTAAAGATGTGTCATGATTAAGCTGTCTGAAGGATATTTAATACTTTTAACACTGCTACTATTTTTCATTACTACTTTTTCTCTCACTTACTGATTTTTATAAAATATTTGTATATTACAAATTATTAACTCAAACATTATTCTGGAATAAACAAAGATGCCAAATAAATAAAAGTAAATATATTAAAAGTGGAACCATTTATAATCAAGGTTATTGAAATTAAAAAAAAAATATTTAAGTGTCAACTGGATAAATGGAGAAAGTAGAGAACTTAAATATGTAAGTACTTTTCTTTGATGGATGAGAAGCTCACCAAGTAAACAGCTGTGTTGAACAGCTCTGGATTACAAAAAAGCAGAAACCTGGTAACTCCCTGGAGTTACTTCTGCTGCCCTAAGGGCTCACTCCATCTGGCTCTGGGTGACTGGTAATCTCTTTGAAGGCTGACACTTGGGCCCCAGAGGACTTTCCACCTCAGTGGAAGTAGTAAATGGAAGCAGTTACTACTCCCATAGAAAATGCTCCCATGGGGTTTTGCAATCACAATGCTCCAACCAGGTGGTTGCCAGTTTTTTAGCTCTATTAACTTAAAAGTAATAGAATAATATAAGATGAACATTTAGAAATCATGATCTCTGTAAGATATTTGGCCTCACCTGTGGGTTTTTGAAAAGTGCATATTTTTCTATACGTTCCATAAATACAAGCTTGTTTTGGCTATCTCTTGTCCAATTAAGAAGATTTTCAACCAAGTTTTCATGGTCTTCAAAGATTCTCTCTGTCCCAAGATAAAATATCAGTACTTTGTTAGTATTCATCAGAATTGCATCAAAGACATGAAACCTTGTGAAGTAATTCCAAGCAAAACCACAGAATTTTACTTGACATTATAGCTCTTGGCCCTTAGAAATGATCTAGTCTTCCCTCTATTTTCAAATAAGGAAACATGCCCACTGTGTTAACTGACTTCAGCAAAGTCACACAACTGCTATATGGAAGAATCAGGACTAAAATCTAGGTCTTCTGTTAGGTTTTCCTCAGCCTTCAGCCTTCTCCCATCCACCCTTGAAAAAACAAAAACCAGGGGTGCCTGGGTGGCTCAGCCAGTTAAGCATCTGCCTGAATATTCAGCTCAGGTCATGGTCTCAGCTCCTGGGATCGAGCCCCTCCCTCCAGTTCCCTGCTCAGTGGAGAGTCTGCTGCTTCTCCCTCTCCCCCAGCTCATGCTCTCTAAAATTAAAAAAAAAAAAAAAGACACTGTAGCCAATTACATAAAAGGTAGTAGAGAAATATTATATATATGGGTCTTTAACCTACAGCCATGGACATATTCCAAAAATTAGTATCCAAACATTTTCTGTATATCATGATTCCACATCTATGAACTCAAACCTTTCTAATTCTCTAAGAATAGTTATGAGTATTATTAGAATACATTTTATACATGTTAATAAACTAATAACTTATGTTTTAGTTTTGGGAGCTATGTTTGTGCATTCTGACACAAAAGGGTTATCAAATTTTTATTTCTCTGGAAACCACTGTGAAATATTTAAATAGGTACTAAGAGCAATGCAAATACTTTTTAAATTAAAATATAAAGTTGAAATTGATTACTGATTCAATAATACCTAATAAAATAACAATTGCCAGGTTGCTATAATCACACAATATTATAAAAAGAAAACTTTAAGAGTCAATGATGGCATTAAAAATGAGGAATTTTTAAAATTAGAAAACACCACACTGGGACGCCTGGGTGGCTCAGTTGGTTAAGCCACTGCCTTTGGCTCAGGTCATGATCCTGGAGTCCTGGGATGGAGTCCTGGGATCGAGTCCCGCGTCGGGCTCCCTGCTCAGCAGGGAGTTTGCTTCTCCCTCTGACCCTCCCCCCTCTCATGCTCTCTCTCTCTCATTCTCTCTCTCAAATAAATAAAAAAAAAAAAAAAGAAAAAGAAAAAGAAAACACCACACTAAACTATAAATCATAGGAAATTAAGATTTAGTACATCTAGCTAAAAATAAAAAAGATAGGCTTTATGTTTTCCCTAAAAGTCAAATGCTGGTATAAGAAATTCAGAACAAATGTGAATAAATAGGATGGTCTTAGTAAATGTGTCTGTCTATGCAGTTATTTGAAGGGAAAAAGTATTTTGTTACTTTAAAAAAAAAACTGTTTTAGCCATAAGACAATCTGAAGTGAACTGGAAATGATCTTGTATCCAAAGAAATCTCAAAATACTTGGAGGAAAAAAAAGACAACGTAAAAAGCTAAGGCTATATACAGGAAAAAAAAGATGACTCAAGGTGCTTTAGTTAACATGAAAACTGTTAGGATTGCATAGAAATTAAAAAGTAAATAAAGCAATTAGATTACTAACCCATTTGTAATTCAGAGATGGTTTCTACCAGCGACCAGTCTAAACTATAACCGCAGTGGGATTTGTCCATTAGGTTATCCAGCACTTGTCTCACTGTCTGCCTCTCATCCACCATCATTGTTTTAGAACTATCGTCAGACATGTGGACTCTAATCACCAACTATAACAGGTAAAAAGGAAATTAAATACAAACCAAAAACTAGGCATTCTAGAAATTTCTTCCAATATCAAGTCATCTTCTGAGTAATGTTGTTCTTAGTTAAATATAAAACACAAAAAATGACTTTATTATGCAAGAAGGATATTCTAAAATTAGGTATCAAATAACCTACCTAAACAAATTGAAAGCATTTTTAAAATTATAATAACAGGTAAGATTATAATAAGACTGTTTTGTTTTACTTTTTTAGGAAAATTTAAAACAAAGTTACTTCTTTATAATAACATTTTATCTACAAAAAACATATACGAAAAATATATTAGGAAGAAATATCCCTCTACCTCTCTGTATCTTTAAGGTATGTTATATAAACAAGGCAATTCTTTATAAATCTGATAGAAAAAAACTGATAAAAAAAATCCCAAACAAGGAAAAAGCCCAAATATCACCTTTTTCACTTGTGCCTCTTTAATTTTCTCCAGGGCAACTCTGATCTTCTCAGCTTTCAATTTTGCTGCCTGTTCTTCCTGTGAACACAAAGCACTGCAGATAAACTAATGCTAAAATAATGAGAATTTTTGAAAACTCTTTTTATCTTAAGGATGTTGCCAGTATTGAATTTCAGTAAGAACATAACTTCACATACTTACATAGAGCACATTTAAAAAAATAACCCTGTTCACAAAGTGAGAACAGACATAGTACACAAAGGAACATTTTTAAGATGCAGACTTGAAGATCTCTTATATTAAGAGACCAGATTCCATCTTTTAGAGAAAAAGAAATCTGTGATATAGCAAATTAATGAGTTTGATTCTGTCAATCTGAAGCAGATGAATTTCAGACAGAAGAAACAGGAGTGTATATCCCGTTTGCCATACCTGCACAGTCCCTTGACTCTGAATTTATACCCGCCTCTGAAGTATGAGCAATCTTTTGCATACTAATGTTTTGTTCTGTTATACTGAAAATGTATCATCACCATAAAACAGCAAAAAACAGTATCAATTTATTTCTTTGCAACCACATAAAAATCCTTAAAAAAAAAATACGTATGTTCTCATCAATATACCAATGCAAACAAAGGAGGATGCATTATACTCTAGGTTTCATTCTGTTTTGAAAAGTACACAATATAATCAATGTCTCATGTTAGTAAACTCAAATTTGTTTCTATTAATTCACTGATGAAATTTTTAAAATGCTAAATATAATTTTCCAAATATTTAATTTCTAGTGACTTCTTTATAAAATTTAGATTATAAGTAGTAATAAAATTATCAAGAACTATAATTATAGTCATACCATTTATTTTTTCCTAAAATAACATAGAGTATTGTAATACCGGTACTTACTTGTACTTTCCAGCAATAGGCCATTGTACACTGTAGCCTTAATCTCCAGTTGAAAAAAACTCATGTAAGTAAATCTTCGCTTTTTATGAAGGATTACTTTCTAACTCTAAGCTTTTGATTACTCTGGAAAATATCTAAGGAAAATACACACTGCCATCTTATATATTCCTATATTTAATATAAGACTTACAACAAAGACCTAGTTATATCAGCCAATTTTATCTGCTCTGGATTATGATTAAAAACCATCCATTTCATACTCTAGGCTATCTTCCCTCATTTCAAGCTTAGTAGTTACTACTCCGTAGAACAGAGAAAACAGTAGTTAGAGAAGACAGTGGGCTTGTTTGCCAGAAATCGGATCCTTTTCAATGACAGGAGCCAGTGAATTAACATAATAACCAAGGTGTGGAAATACTATCTGTAAACCCAATTAGAGAACAAAGAACTTTATTTTAACAATGGAGGGGGTAAGATAAGACTTGATTCTTAGACTATTATAGATATAGTCATTTGATTAAAAGATCAAATCATTGTATCCCTGCCTTTATGCAAATAAACAACATAATTATAAAATATGTTCCTATGTATTTTAAGAAGTTATTTTTTTCTTTTTAATGCAGGCTGTACAATGAGAAAACTACACTACTGTCATTAAAACTCTCAGTTTCTGGAATAATGTGTCTTAGATAAACAAATCATTGTTAGTTAAATTACCAAACCCTGTGTTTCTGATGAGTATAGCACATACTCTAGAAAGGAATTTTGAATACTACCATTTCCCAGTGGTTTCATGAAACCAGCTGACAGGTTTTTTTTGGAAGAGAAAGAGGGAAGCAGGAGCTTTATGAATGTTTTCTCAATGGGATAATGATCTTCTGTTTCTCATGGCTCATTTGCCACATCTTTGTATTAGTATGAATGACTGTTACAGAGAGGACAAATTTACCAAGGCATATTTTCAAGTTTTACTTCATGTCTCTGAAAAGCAAATTTAAATCTTAAAGTCTGATAAGGAAAGACTGATACATAAAATCAATGCTTTGTGTATTTGGAATATAAACATGGACTTCTAAAAGGCCAAGTTCTTTTATAATTATTCTGCAGAAGTTAAAAAAAAAACTCAAGAAAATGAACAATCCAATAAAAAAAGGGTGTTCTAAAAGACATGAACAGACAACTCAGCAAAGAAGATACACAGATAGCAAATAAGCCCATGAAAAGATGCTCAATATCATATGTCTTTAGGGAACACCACATTAAAATGAGATTATCACTATACAGCCTATTAAAATGGCCAAAATCCAAAACACCGAAAACATCAAATGCTGGTGAAGTAGAGGATCAACAAGAACTCACGTACATTGCTGGTGGGAACGCAAAATGGTAGAGCCACTTTGGAATATAGTTTGGCCGTTTCTTATAAAACTAAACGTGCTCTTACAATATGATCCAGTAATGCTCCTTAGTACCTATCCAAATGAGGTGAAAACTTACCTCCATCCAAAAATCTGCACACAGGTGCTTCTAGCAGCATTATTTATTTATTTATTTATTTATATTTTTATTAGCAGCTTTATAACTGCTAAAACTTAGAAGCAACCCAGATAGCCTTCAGTAGGTGAATGCGTAAACTGTGCTACATCCAGCCAATGGAATATTACTCAATGCTACAAAGAAATGATCAAGCCATGGAAAGACATTGAGGAAACTTAAATGCACATTACTAAGTGAATGAAGCCAATCTGAAAAGGCTGCATACTATATGATCCCAACAATATGACATTCTGAAAAAGGCAAAACTATGGAGAAGGTAAAAAGATCAGTGGTTGGGGGCGCCTGGGTGGCTCAGTTGGTTAAGCGACTGCCTTCGGCTCAGGTCATGATCCTGGAGTCCCAGGATCGAGTCCCGCATCGGGCTCCCTGCTCAGCAGGGAGTCTGCTTCTCCCTCTCCCGCTCCCCCCTCTCGTGCTCTTTCTCTCTCTCACTCTCTCTCTCAAATAAATAAATAAAAACTTAAAAAAAAAAAGATTAGTGGTTGCTAGGGGTTGGGGAGGAGGAGGGATGAATAGGTGGAACACAGCACTTTTGTAAGAGTGAAGCTATTCTGTATGATACTACAATGGTAGATACATGTCCTTAACACATTTGTTGAAATCCACGGGATGTACAACATGAAGAGGGAACTCTAATGTAAACTATGGACTCGGGGTGATAATGATGTGTCAACAAAGTTCATCAGTTGTATCAAATGAACCACTCTGGTGGGGGATATTGATTATAGGGAGGCTATACATGTGTGGGGGCAGGTAGTATAAGGGAAATCTTTGTACCTTCCCCTCAAATTTACTGTGAATCTAAAACTGCTCTAAAAAAATAAAGTTTATTGTTAAAAAAGAATATACAAATTTAAATATTACATTCTGATATTGGTTATAAATATAAAAATAGTATTTTCATACTCCCATTTTAGTGTAATATTATTTGCCAAATACAACAGAACACAACCAGCGCTATCTTTTGAAGGACTGATATAAAAGGCATTTAATTGTAAGATTAGTTTAAACTAAGTTTCTGTTCTACAGGCTAACAGGAAAAATACTGACACGGTGGAAGAAAGGATAAAAGAAACGAGATTCAGTGGAACCATTTAACATACGTTAAACAAATTAGATTTCCTAGCCATCAATAAGAAACCATCTTTTTGTAAAGCACCTAGGTGGGGCTATTTTAACATCCAAATTTAGCTCTTCCATTTGCTCAAAATACTACTCTTTAATAACTACATAAATTGATCTGTTTTAAAACTGTATAAAATTCAAATTTAGGAGCTCTGTGCTTAATTTCAACCTAGGCAAATTTTGGTTTATTCTTCTCCAGTTTATTAACAAGGATGATCCTTGCTAGAAGCTTTTTGAAGAAACAACTGATCAAGATACCTCTTACTTTTAGAGTCTGAATATCATCACTGGAGCAAAACTGAAAATAAAAATACTTATATCAAATTGCAAGATTCATAGTATTTTATGTTTCCATAACCTCTTCCTCAGAAAGTTTGATTTTTACCTACATTACCATGGTATATTCATATCTTTACTTTTAACCATTACAACCTAGGGGGAGGAAGAAATTGTTTTAAGCTCATAAAGTACGCAATATAGGAAAGATCAATAAATCTTTGCTGATGTGATTAGACTATACAGGAAGAAGACATCTGATAGTTTACTTATAAAGGCAATGTAAATCTATGTTCAATGTCTGCAGCCTAATTTCAATACAATGAACAAAGCTTTATTCATCTCATGTTCTCCTCTTTTTGCTAATGCAGACAACCTCCGGTCTTAAGCCTTCTGCCCCCTTATCTTCTGACTATCCCTTTCTTCACGTTGTTTGTCCCACAGCCATCCTCAACATAAGTAAAAGATATCTTACACATATAACAACTTTGTCTTCTACCCTGTCTCTTAAAAGAGCAAAAGACAACCCATTTTCTACCTGAAAAACTCCTGTGCGGCTATCAATAACCATCAAATGCCAAGCCTCCTCAAATTTACATAAAGAACAAAAACTCAGTGAAGATTTTAGGATTAAATGAAAGGGAATGCTGTGGTTACAAAGTGTTAAAGCATTCTCTTGAGTGTAAAAATCAGAATACTGACAGGAAGAGTGACAGTTGCTAAGAGATGGCCAGTGAATTCCTTCAACTAAAAAATTATTAAGGCTTCGTAGGTTCAGAACAAATCCAGTTGAAATTAAGGGGCTCAAAAGGAATTAGCAGTTTCTTTAGGATCTAGTTTATTTCACACTTTACAGCAATAAAAAAAATTAGATAAATTTAAAAAGGTTCAAAGAAAACTTGGAGTGGTAAGTTCACCGCCCATGAAATGCTCTACTCTATAAAATTACTTAGAGCCAGAATAGTAACAGTAACAACTACTTTACTTCCCTGACATTGATAGACTTTCACTGAGAAGAGAACTAACATCAACTGAACACCTAAAACCTGCCACACGGTATCTCATTTAATTCTCAATAATGCAAGGCCAATATATCACTATTATACATTGTACTGATTAAGTCTCAGAAAGACTAACCTTTCTAAGATCAAACAGGCAGTTACCCAATGACTAACTACTTGCTCTCTCCACTAGCAGTAAGTAAAAACTACTTGTCAAAAATGAAAGACTTATAGTAATGTAACAGCACTTTTATAACTTCTCTGAAGCAAAGAAAAATGGTGGTTAACATTACAACAGTTCTTGAAGGTCACTAAAGGACCATTCTGTGACAGATGTTTGTTGAGACTGTGCAGGCTTGGGTCTGACTGCAGGGGATAGAGTTCCTGCTTTCAAGGAGCTTACCTTTAAAATAAGAGACAAGACAATAAAGAAATAGATGTGTGGTTAGTCAGTCAGGGATAAGTCCTACAGAAAAAAATAAAGCAGGGTAGAGGAGTGAAGAGTGACAAAAAATGCACTGTTAGATGAGATTAGGGAAGGCATTTAGAACAGTACCCAGAGATTTAACGGCATCAGATCAGCAATATGTCCTTTGCCCACTGCACCCATTTACGGTACTAATGCCATTCCTATAAAAACTGGTTGGCATTATTTTTGCAGATGTTCCCAGCTCAGAGCTGTATGTGGGATAGTTATTTCATTAACAGTGGTATAGTGACAACTGGATTTATGATGGAAAAAAAAACACGAAACAAAATATCCTTTTGCTGCTTTGGCCTAAGCACAGTGCTACTATGTTCATTCTACTGTGTACTAACTACCGGGTGTTACAATGTCTTAGTTTGGAAAAGTGTGTATCAGAGGTGGGTAACTGGGGTACCATGCTTTTTGGGTAAGGGGTGCCAGACTGCCACATGGGGGCACGCAAGATGTGTAAACCCATTTTTGTTTCAAAACAGCCAAGTGCTCTGGTATTGATGGCCCTGACATTGAGAGGCTCCTGCAACTTGGGTTATCTAGGAATTTCTGCTACCTCCCTGACTCCACGCCCCACTCCAGCCTAAATGTTTAGGTTCTACACGAGTGAATCACATTCCTGCTCAAATTTCTTGTATGTAAGCAGGGTAGTATGTAGGAGGAAGCTGGAGCCAGATGTTGGCTACACACGCCAGCAATTCCAACACTTGGGTAATGGGAGAAGAGCGGATGCAAGCAGAGATGGCTCTGACGCTGCAGTTGGCACCACTGTCTCTTGGGCACAGGGAGACGAGAAGTTACGGACTGCATTTATCCATAACTTGCACAGAATAACCTCCCTGTGGTAGGAACTTTGTACTGTTCCCTGCTACATCTCCAGGGTTGTGAACATAGTAGGTATTCAGGAAATACCTGCTGAATGGACGAAGTTATTCTCTTCAACAGTTTGCCACTACATTTAGGAAAAAATACGAACTCCTTAGCATGCCTTGAACAATCTGGTTCCTGCCTACTTCTCCAAACTCGAATCAAGACACTCACTCCTATCTTCATTCAACTACTGTGGCTCCAGCAACAGAGCCTTTTTTTAGCTTCTCAAACCTGCCAAACTCTTCTCCCTGGGCCTACCTACAGGGAACACTAACCCGCACCCTCAAGCTGGCTTTTCATCCTTCAATCTTTAGGTTAAATGGCGCCCCCTTAGAAGGGCCTTTTCTGATCTTATCTAAAGGAAATGTACCCCCAATACTCTCCCCAGTATTCTCTAATGCTTTACCTTTGCTTCCTCCACAGCACTTAACATGATTTAGAATTTGTTTATACTTGCCTATTAATATTTTTTATCTATCTTCCCAAGCAGACTGTGAGCTCCTGGGGGGCGGGGGGGGGGTAATATGTCCATTTTATACAAAGTTATAATCCCAGCTCCAGGATAGTACATGACTCAACAAATATTTGTTCAATAAATAAAAAATGGAAAGGGTAAAATATTACATTTGAGAGCAGTGTACAAAATGGACTGGAGAAAGGAGAGGCAAGAATGAAGAGACCAGTGTAGTAGCTGATAAGAGATTAGGAGCCTATTTTAGGGTGGCGGCAATGGGAACAAAATGGATGGGTGAACTTAATCCTGCAAATTCTCCACTAGAGCTTTAATAACTGAGAAGAAAGAAGGCAGCATGGAGGGTAGAAGGCTCACACCTTGGTAACCGGGAAAGTCGTAGCATTCTGAACAGAAACAGCAATGTCAAAAGAAGGATATAAATTGTGAGGCAGCAGGGTGAGTGTAGCTAGAGATCTGTGGGACTGGAGGTGCTGGTAAAATGCTGGTAATCTTCCAAGAAATACCTGACAGCGACCTGGAAATATGTTGCTCTTAGGTAGAGAGATCTGATCTAGAAGAGAGATCCTATTTGAAGTTATGAGTGTAGATTGCAGGGAAAGAGTGAACAGAGGAGGAGCTGAGGAAAAGGAAAGAACTTTCTATGGTTATAAAGTATATAATGGCTATTATCCACTTAGACTTCTACATTTCCCTAATCTTAAATTGTTTCTACCCCATTCCTAGATCTACTTTAAAGAGAAACTCAAGCAAGAGAAAGGGTTTTACTGATGACTCTTGGGTCTTTCTCTTTGAGCTGCTTCTCAGGGAGATTTTAATTATAGCCTTATTAGCCCCTTTCACAAATTTAAAACGTAGTAATAAAAAGAAAACCCTCATACACAATAATAACTTAGAGACATTACCCATAACCACCATCATATTCCAAAGAAACGATCTATAACCAAGTCTGATATTCTTGAATTTAACATTATTTAAATAAGATAATGAAATAAAAACATGACTATAAAGGAGGTCAAAATCTATTCACCTTCCCTATTCTGTTATTCCTTAGTTAATAATGACAATGGCTAAAGGATTTTAAATTGATCTAAAATATTAGCCCAATGAAAATCCAGTTAGACTGATTCAAACCATTCTGAGGGCAGGGAACTGAGAAATTAAAATTGCAGCCTTCTCTTCCAATTTGATTAAGCTAATGTAAAGTAAGATTCTGTTTATATAAATAAATGTTTTAATTAAACAAGGTGTTTATAATATAAACAAGAATTAGAAAACAAAATCTGTTAAAGAAACACCATGGATAGATAACCTCTAGTAATAAAAGTTAAAATTAAAGCAAAGTTTTTAGACTTTAAAATGAAGTAAAATGTTAAACTTAGAAAAAGTGCAACGTACTCAGGAAGATGGTCAGGTATTTACAATATTTTCAATATTTTCTGATATTGAGGGTAGAATATTAAGTCATTAAGATCAGTAAATAATTACCTTCAGTAAGAAAAAAAATAACTATAACAACAAAGATGCTGAAATAAGAAAGCACAATCTGAGAAATCTGAGAACACAATCAAAACCAGAAATTATATTCTACCTGAAAGACAACAAATATTTACATGCAGGTGGAAAGAAGAAGTATCACCTTGGTCAGCAAATGAGAAGGTTTTCCTGCAATGTTTCTCAGAAGAAGGGAGGTTTCCCTGTCCAGATAGGAGTGCTTGTGCAGAAAAAGAGAGAGAAAAACAAAAAAGGCAACAGAAGTCAGTGGAGGTTTTATGTGTTTAAAATATAAAGTAGACAAAGAATGATTCTCTATCATTAATCTCACATCTTTTTCCTACAGTGAAATGTGTTCATAAGAAAACTTTACTAAAAACAAAAAACAAAAAAAAGAAAGAAAAGGATGGGGAGACAGACACCCTCTATGCCAATAGGCATGCCCTAGCTGACTCGTGCCAGTCCCTCACTCTGCAAAAATGGATCATGCACTGCATAGATCACAGAGCCAGACTGTCTTCTAGGGCAATGTTTGTTGAGTACTGTGCGCACAGCACAGATAAACAGGTGTCGAAGACCAATGACTAAACATATTCCTTCCTCTTATCAAAGCCTATAAAGACCTATATAGCTTTAAGTAGTATATTCTTGTGAAAACAGAATAAGACTTTTAAAAACATTTTTAAAGACTCTGCAAGTATTTCTGATCAATTCAATGATAGCTACACCAAGAGAAAAAATGTCCATAAATATTTTGCCTAATGGGTATCATCTGTTTTCAGTAAAATCTTATTAATTCACTCATTATATCAGAATACTAGTAAGATTATATGGCACAGTAAAGGAGTTACATAGCAAACAAATGACATGAACAAAATATTATAGTTCCTTTAAATTGACTAAACTGATTCAAGCAATTAATATATTTTCATAAAAATGATTTGTGAATAACAAAGGCCCTAACTATCCTCTTCCCCCTTAATAACTTTTTAGTAATGTGTTCAAGGTAAGTTTATGCAACTGTATTTAAACTCACAAGAGTATAAATTAGAGCTGTTTCCATATAAATGTAATTTAGACTTGCCTGTCCGTAAATAATTCTGAATTAGCATCTATTTTTTAATGCTGTGTAATTACTAACCACCATTTAAAACAATACATTGGTGGGGGTGCAGGGTGGCGCATTCGGTTGAGCATCCCACTCTTGGTTTTGGTTGGGATCCTGATCTCAGGGTCTTGGGACTGAGCCTCCACACGGGCTCTGTGCTCAGTGTGGAGTCTGCTTGGCACTCTCTTTCCCTCTCCCTCTGCCCCTCCCCCCCCACCTAAAATAAATAAATAAATCTTAAAAAAATAAAATACATTGGTGCAGCTGAGTGGAGTTATAGAAAATATTCTATGACGTTATATTTTATATATCTAACTATTTATCAAGTTATTCTTAAGAAAAAAGTTCTTTGGAAAGAAATATTAGAGCAGTACCCACTCTTAGAAAGTTCACTGTCACAGATAATAAAACACACTACTTCAAGATTAGAAACACTGTTAAAGAATACTAATCTTTGCTCATATCTACAGTATGTTGAGTTTACTATATAGTATTTCATTGCCTATGTATTTTTTTCTTTTTTTAAATACAAGATGAACCTTATAAGCATACCTGCCCTTTTCACCCACTCCTGCAAGAAAAAAAAAAAAAAACACACAAAAAAACCCCAAAACAAAGAAAAAAAACTAAGGTTAAAAAAAATTGGACAGATTCATCAAGATCCGCACTAACAGGGTCAAACAATAACAAGAACAGAGACAATTATCTCTAGGTCCTCATTTACCTAAATGGTATAATCCTCCTGAAGGTAAAGATTAGTTGGCTTATCCAAAAGACAAGAGGCAAGAGAAATTTCTAAAACTTCAATTTAATTTGAGGTTAACAATCAGCTAAGACCAGGGAGAAAACTGGGAAGGACAATTAAAAAGAGCAACTTTAACTTTTATTGCTCTTATTCCCGTTCATTTTTTGCTATTCACATGTAATGGGAACAAGTGTATTCTTACACAAATATGTAAAATACATAGGAAATAATTTATAAAAACCCTACTCTTGTTTCCTTTATCTTACTCAAAGATTAGTTTCTCAGGAAAAGATCCCCCAAATAAGTAAAATACCTAAATTCTAAAAAAAAAAATATGCTTCAGGCCATGAAAACAAACTTTTTTTAGTAAATGTAATTCTAGACATTAAAGTTTAAACTTAAAAATCTTATGAGATTTACTCAATTAGTCCTCAAACTCAGATCACCTCAAGACTTCAAACACTAAAAAAAAAAAAATCCGTGATCTGATCAGCAAGAAACAATGATATCTAACTGTATTTGTTTAAAGACTCAGAAGTAGAAGTTATCCATTTAAAAATATTAAAAGGTTTAAACAGCCTAAAATAAAAGAGATAATTATATTATTATAGCTAGTGTACCAAAAATAATCCACATCTAAAACAATGAGACCACATACAATAGCTGAACATGACGATAAATTATTTTGTGTGGGACAGTCAGGTAGCTATTCACGGCTTACTCACTAGCAGGGAGGGAAGCCAGGCCTGCATGTTTCCTCTACCTAAGCTATAGGTATTTGTAGCAGAAAAAATGAAAACCTAGAAACCACAAGCAGCAAACTCCTTCCTTCAATAAATGCCTTACTTTATTTATCTTCCCCCTAATGGTGCCAGTCATACATTGCTCTAGAATTCCTCAGAAAGGGGGCCAGGGTGTTGGGAGAATCTGTTACTGGAGAAAGATGCAAGAGGGATGAGAAGAGTGGTATGCAGCTGGAGGACTGAGAAAAGCAAAGGACACAGTGGTTTGGGCATGTCCTTAAATCAACCTTCTGTCTTGGAACATGTTGCTGATAACAAAAATGCACATCACTTCATTTAAATAGGGCCTTCTTACATTTTCTTTCATTCACCACTAACAACACTAAGTCAGTGGCTTATTTTTAATCCATTTCACTGGTTTGTTAGCTTATTTTCTTTCTCTCTTCCACTTTATTTACCCTGTAAAACAAATTGAGGGAAGCCTGCAATTTCTTTTGTCCAGAATTTACCAAGAGTTATTATGTTGGAAAATAATTTCACCAAGAGAAACCCAGCTTGAAGAGCTGCCAATACCAAAACTGGCAGCATCAATGTGCATTCTGTCACATGCAAGTAAATGACAGAAGACATCTGAAATTCTTTTTCACAGAATAACGAATACTACTAAGTTAATAAAAAGACCTAAAATGCAAGAATTCCTGAGCTTTATTAATAAAGACGGTTTAAAAATATTCCACATTACTATGTCTTATTTAAAATAGTTACAGCACAATGAGAAATCTAAACTGTAAAAATAAATATCAAAATCATTTTATCATGGCCTCATCCAAAGTTGTAAGATAGGGAATGGTTTTGTCACAATTATACGTAAGACTTGGGCGCCTGGGGGGGACTCTGCTTCTCCCTATGCCCCACCCCCCCACTCATGCTCTTTCTCTCTCAATAAATAAAATCTTAAAAAAATTATACGTAAGATTCATTTGTAAAAATTTTATACTTCCCCATTTTCTTTTGTTTGAGTCTATAAATTGTCTCAGCACATTATCCCTATTTTGTTTAAGGCTTTTTTCTATTACCATATACAGGTATGTTTTGTCTGCTATTATTTGTCACAGTATGTTTTAGTTCTAGGCCCACCTATATTTCTGCTTTCTCTACCCTGTAAAAAATGCCTTCTGATCTTTTCACTTGTCTTAAATCCAAATTATAAGTGGGTGTATGATTATGTCATCCTGTCTTTTACTACAGTGGTGGCCAAACATTTAAAAACTGAAATATATTATAAATTACTTTTTGGTTATTCTCCTCCATCATGGGTATTAGAGCATTAAATTCGTTTTAAAAAGTAGATACGTTGGTAGGTTAGATTATTTATGAATTTCATTTGGGACAAAGATAGTGATTTAAATTGTTATAAAATGGGGGTACCAGGACTGAAAGGATTAGGAAGTGAAATAAGCGATGACAATGCAAGTGTTAGAGCAAGCATGGCTGATACTGAAGAGTGTAAGGGAGGGGTTGAAGGTGAGGTAAGAAAAGTGTTTTTTGGGTGCCTGGGTGGCTCAGTTGGTTAAGCGACTGCCTTCGGCTCAGGTCATGATCCTGGAGTCCCGGGATCGAGTCCCGCATCGGGCTCCCTGCTCGGCGGGGAGCCTGCTTCTCCCTCTGACCCTCCCCCCTCTCATGTGCTCTCTGTCTCTCTCATTCTCTCTGTCTCAAATAAACAAATAAAATCTTTAAAAAAAAAAAAAAAAGGTGTTTTTCACTATGCCGGATATAACCTATTAGTAAACTGTGAAATCAATTCACTGGGTTACTGGGTTATTACCAGGCAAAGGAAGGAATCTGATTCAGCTGGGTGGGGGTCAGGAATTTGGGGGTTTTTTATGGTTCATAGATGATTCTGAAGCAGCACCATCCAACTGAATATAATACACAAATATAAAATTTTTTAGTAACCATATTAAAAAGAAAAAGGCAAAATAAACATCAGTATCTTTTATTTACCTGAAAATATCCAAATAGTATAATTTCACAAAGTAATCAATAAAAAATATTAAAGAGATATATACATTTTTAAAATACTAAGTCTTTGAAATTCATGCTGTATTTTATCTTTATAGCACCTCTCAGTTTGGATTAACCACATTCCAAGTGCTTAACAGCCACAGTGGCTAGTGGCTACCATGAGGAACAGCACAGCTCTGAAGCACCCAGATTTGTCAACACTGACCAGAGGATACATTTTTGAAGAAAGAAATTAGGTTTTCAGTGAAGCATCAGTGTAGAAGAGTCATTCTACTTGATAACGCCATTCTGAAGAACAGCTAAATTTGTTAATAGCTTAAGAAATTTACAAAAGCCCTTAGCTTCAGAATAGAAAAGAAAGCACGCGGTTTTAGGCTCCGATACACAATTTCTCTATATCAGATATGCTACCACCTATATAATCTTACCGTAAGTATTAATATTCAATGGTACTGTATCATACAGTTGCTCATTTGTTTTCTGCTCGTTTATTTTTAAAATTGGTTTAATTTTTATTAAAAAAACCTGAGGTTTATGACCAGGTTTCATTATCAGGAGTTCTACAGAATGCATTCTTCTTCACTGCTATTTAAGTAGTCCCATGGACATGTTTACAGAACTTACAGGTGTCAGCTCAGCCTGCTCTTCTGTGAAGTCAATATGATGCTTGGCCTGCTTGCTGGAACATCTCAGAGAAATAGCATGCTGTGAAAATGCAGGAAGGAAGAAAATGATAGGTAAAGAAGGTGGAAAAGGGCCAGTCTCATTATCATGCAAGAAGAGACAAAGATCACTGAAATGAATTGTTGAAACAAAACAGTAATGAAAAGTTGCATGCATCTTTCATTATATTATGCAAAAATAAAAAAGAACTAGATGATCCTAACCCCTTGATAATGTATATATAAAAAGAACAATAAAGCAAATGTTGCAAAATGCTAAAAATCAGTGAATCTGAGTAATGAGTTTCATGAGTTCTTTGTACTATTCTTTCCATTTTTTGAAAGTTTCATATTATTTTAAAACAAGTTTTTTTTAAAAATCTATTCTCTGTAGACTCAACCTCACACAAACTCCCATATTTCCAAATGCTTATTGGTTAATTTTTTAAAAAAAAAATCTAAATCTGAAGTGTTCAAAAAAAAGAGATGACTACCTATATACCATGTTATTAAACAGTATGATGGAACATTAGTTATTAAAACTCAACACATCGTCACCAAAAATGAATGTAGGCAAAGTGACAAAAACAGTAGAAATAGTACATGTGCAAAGATTAAATGCTGTTACATTATTGAAGATGGAAAGGAATTATGGGATGATATAAACAGTTTATTTAATATTAGGTTCCATTTCCACAAAATATTTGAATACTTTTCTACAAAAAAAAAAAATCTCCCCCAAATCTAATTTTTACCTCAAAATGAATCTGGGGATCAATTCTACACATCAATTTTGCTCTAAACATGTTCAGTTCCAAAGACTTTTGTTTGTTATCAAGCTATCAAATTCTCCAACAATCCCTCAAAAACTCCAAAGTCTCTGCAGAGTTAGTTATGGATCACCATTTTCTTGAATTGAATCTGTAACATGTTAGAATCAAGTGCCATTTACAAGCCAGAATCTTGTGCTGGTGTAAGGGGGTGGGGGATGGCAGGTGTATAGAAAAGCACTGATCTCACACTGAAGCTAAACTGTAATCAAGAAATGGCCTTATACCAAAGAACAAAATAAAACACTTCCTCTTGATAGCTAACACCTTCGATTACAACTGGAAAAAAGAAGTGGAGGTCTGTGAACACACATTAGTGTTTCAATAAAACAGATTTACATTCATCCTTTACTGACATGTGTGCATTTTTCTCAAATACTAAAAATGAGCACAGCACTGATGGTAAAGAACGCAGACCTTAGGGCTGGAGGGACTGGGTTTGAGCCTCAGCTCAGCCATTTACTGGCAATGTGACTCTAAGCTTACTATTTAACCTGTTTTCTTATGTGTAAAATAGAGTGATATCAGCATTTTCTCCAAAGTTGCCATAAGAATTAAGTGAATAACATTACTATTATTACAAAAGTGGGAAACCACCAGCCCTCATCTGAATTTCATTTAAGCCTCAATTCATTTAAATTAGAGCTAGTTTAGAGTTGTTAAATTTTAATACATGTAGGAATATACTAAAACACCACAAGATGGGGATGTTACTGCATAAATCTCTTTGCCCTTTTTCTTCCACCCTTGTAGTTCTGTCTCTAGGTCTGGATCTAAGAGCACTGGCCAGTCTAGCCTTGTCTTGATTCTCCTTCAATTCTGTGATGAAGCAGCATGGTATTTCAGTATGAGCTCTAAAACCAGACTGCCAGGGTTCAAATCCTGGGGAACTTAGTCACTCTCTGCCTAAGTTCCTTCCATTGTGAAAATGGAGGTAATGGAATCTATTCCACAAGACACTGTGCAGATTCAGCATGTCGTTAAGCACGACGCCCAACACAGAGTAAGTGCTCAATATTATTTTTCTATTTTTCCCTTCTCTCCTTTTACTAGCCATTATATAGCCAGTAAATGTCTGAATTCTTTTTAATATTACTTCTTTTAGGTACCTGGGTGGCTCAGTTGGTTAAGCGTCTGCCTTTGGCTCAGGTCATGATCCCGGGAGTCCTGGGATCCAGCCCTGCATCGTCATCGGGCTCCCTGCTCAGCGTGCTTCTCCCTCTGCCCCTCACCCCGCTCATGTTCTCTCTCTCTCACACTCTCTCTCTCAAATAAATAAAATCTTAAAAAAAATTTTTTTTTAGGGACGCCTGGGTGGCTCCGTCGTTAAGCATCTGCCTTCGGCTCAGGTCATGATCCCAGAGTCCTGGGATCGAGCCCCGCGGCGGGCTCCCTGCTCAGTGGGAAGCCTGC